GAGAGATTAATGGCAATACAAACCCAATCCCAACTATAAGAAGCGGCCATTTTTCGGATGAAATCGAAATTACACTCATTATTATCTGTTTTGGTACATGCTAAAACAGAAATATTTTAATTAGTATAACTGATCATGATATATAAATTATATATAAATATGATGTAGTTTAATAATTTACTTACGGAAAACTTTATACTTGTATTTTTCTTCGTATTCTTTAGATTTTTCAATTGAATACAACGGCGCCGACTGTATGGACACACGAACCGTGTTTTGTCCCACTTTTAGCAGTTTTTTAATATCCCACTTATACCGTATAAACTGATTGTCTGTGCGGCCTATAAGCTGATCATTTACGGTAACTTCGCTGACAGTGTCGATACCGTTGGCTAATAAATACACATATTGTTTGCTCAATAGCTTCTCGTCGACTATAATATGAAATTTTGTTACTTTTTATTCAATTCATTATTTGATTTATAATACCATTGAATGTTCGCTCAAAACTCCAGTTGTCGTACGAAACCCACCGATACTTCAGGTCATTATCGCCGGACAGTAGGGACTCCTTAAGTACGCCCTCCCGTCTCAGGTCTGAGTATATACTTCCCGGCACTCGGGCTTTGACCTGAATGGCTGTTATAAACATAACCATGGTAAATTGTATTTAATTTGTTAATTAATTTATAATATTATTAAATAATTACATTTGTTTTGATTGGTTGCCAACCAATCGGTGCCATCGAGTGTTAAAAATTCGCCGTTTGTGACACTTTTGGCCCAAAAACATACAAAAGTAATGAAAATAATCTGTAATTTATTAAACATTTTTGCAATAAATAATAAATTAGATATAAAAGAAATAATAATTATTAATAAAAAGTTTTTCTCTTTATATATAAATAAATATACTATAGTATTGGTTATTATCTATAAAGTCAAGTGTTTGTAAATTGTACTAAAACATTGTACATAGGTTAATTAGCTAATGGTGTTGCAATAATTATAATAGATCAAAGTAATTTAGTATTTTGAGTACAGTTGTCTATTCAATGCCAGTTATAATATATTGATAGTATAATCCATAGAGTAATCATAATTATTATTTCAAATATATTTTAGTACAATTAAATATCAGTATATTCTGTGATAACGTACATTGATGCTTTATTGAACTCATATTTTGTTTAATTGTGTACTTGATTTAGATATAAATATCAATAATGTACTGTAGGTAAAAATTTCTAATAATTATAATTATAATTATTAATTAGTTTTGAGGAGTAATGTTACAGACATAAGAGATAATCTACTCATTAAATCCGTTATGATTTTATTGTTTAAAATTAATATGAATTAATTTAATAAATGCTTATTTGAAATTAAACTTTATTGATGTCGAGGAAATGTTGACCATACATGTATGTTAAGCATGAGATAAATTAGACACAAAGATGTCTATAGTTTTAGTGCACACCTGTATTGGCAATACTTGTAGACTATTGCTATTCAACAGGTATTTGATTGAAATAAACTGGTTTTCACTATCAATGAGAGCACGTGTTGTAAACGATATAAATTTTCAACCATTTTGTGATTATAGACAATAGATTTACGTTTGGGATAGACCTATGTTTTAATTTTAACTTAGCAACTTTTAAATATAGTGTTTAAATGAAATGTGTGAACATGTGTTTAAAATTAAACAGTACTTGTAATAATTTTAAACTAATTTATTAAATATATATCAATTAATACAAATTGTGTTCAAAAATGAATGAATCGTTGATTGAAATGAAGAGTAAATTCAATGCAATGAAGAGT